AACTGTATATTTAAGTAGGTAGGTTGATATGATATTTAAATTGATAACTTTAAACGAGAGGGGCGGTTCCTTAAGTTCTCCTACATCAGAGAATTGGCATTAAAGCTGATAGTTTTTTTATGGACAGAAAACGGTTCCGTTTATTAAGTCAAGCAAATACTCATCAAACAAAAACTACTAAAATAATTTTATATTTTTTAATTATAAGGCTTGTGTCGTAAGGGCGCCCATTTCAGCAGTATTAAAATGAATCTATTTTCAAGCATGTAAACTCGATATTGCGAAATGGAGACAGATAGGTAAACCGAGATAGTGGGACTATTCAATTCATGTTCCAACTTGCAAGTATAAGTAGCAGTATTACTAATACTATATTTATTTACTGCAAATATTACAAAAGTTGTAAGTAGAACTGAGTTTTCATCACACTTTTGATGTAAACACGAATTGTGTAATATTGTAGAGGTAGAGTGGAGTTCAATAATAAACCAAATGCCAAAAGTATAAATGTATAAATAGAAATAACCACACGACACACACCTAAGCGTGTAAACTAGAGAACGTAAAGCACATGTTTTGTTAATAGTTACAACACAACAATCGGATATTTTTCGACCTTCCAGAATGATCACTGGGAATATTTTATGGCGCATTTGCAATAAAAACCGAACGCCAACATCTTTTACATCGAAAATACGGCTTTCAAATACCAAACAAACCGGGTAAATATAATAATGAATTGCTGGCTACATTATGGAGACGGAATAGATTGTGGTGCCGATTGGATGGACGGTAAAAAATAAACAAAAACAAACCCAGCTGGCCACAGCTAAGGATATAAAAACCTTACAAATACTTAAATTTTAAAGCCCAGCTCTTACCTATCCTAAAGCTATTCTGGAATTAGGGAAATTATGAAAAGAAACTGTCCAAGTTTGAATAAAATACTGTTCAGCACTCCTAAACGCAACGATCACACATTACACCGCCATATAAACAACTCCTGTCGCTTGATCAAAACAATTTTGACCTTACGCAATGCTAGAGAGAGCACAGTTCATCACCCATTCTACCAATAAGGCCAGCCAACAGTCGAGGCGGAGTGACAAAGACAAAATGATTGACAAAACACCAGATTATTCCTGCTACGTGCAGTTCAACTGGTTTTCAAGATGGCGTCTATTGTGGGCCAACTTCAAACTCTTATTATCTGCTTTAGATAGTACAACAATAATATTAACCTGCACTTAGTGGAGAATATTATCAGTAACTAACTCACCGAAGTTAGTGAAAAATATTTAAAATACCTGACGAAAAAATATTTGTGTGTTAATAGTCGCCCACAGGGGCATCCATTTTGGATTTGTGTTCCGTAGTTGAAAACCAATCGAATAATGGAAACATGAAAAGTCACTAGCATAAAGTAGCTTGTCATTTTGCGCAAAAGTTTTGCAAATTGTGGAAGTAATGGCAGCGAGCAGTGGCGGAGTCGATTGGTCCCTCGTTTTGAAACCATTTTTGTCCCCGAATTATGAAAGTTCCAATACTACCGAGCTTATAGAGCTTTGTTCTACCATCGTGAAAAGGTACAATCAATAATTCCATGCATAACTCTGCGAATTTTGCCTTCAAAGTTCCACCGTACAGTTTGACAGCTCGTATTTTTCTTTTTCATATTGGTTTTTTAAATTTATTTTTAGTGAATCCGAGATTTGGAGACACAAAGAGACCCACAAGAACTTCTACAATACGTTTACAGTACTTGCTGCTGATTACATTAGTAGTAGCATATCAAAATGTAAGTTTTTGGCACAGCATCTCCTGACACTCGCACCTGAATGTGCAGTGAATATTTTTGTTTAGTCAATTTTTTTGTGGGTGTGTTCTGTTTTATTTATATACTCTTATGATATAACAATTCTAGGTTTTGTTACTGCCTAAACAGTCTTAAAGTGGATACTAAGTCTTGTATTGAAGCCCTAAAACACTCCTGCCATTCCTGTAGCACCAACTTCTGCTGTTCATGCTGGTCATCATTTACACATAAATATTTTCTATTTTTTATCTTCATAAGTGTCTTGCTGATTTCCCCGACCAAGATAAAGATCAATATATATTGCACAAGTCAATGTAATGCGAATATCACTTCAAATATGTAGACAACTTTTGAATCAAGCAGTTTTTTTAACTATTAAACTAGTTAGCAAGAATCTTCGACACCACATTCAACAAATCATTGCATAGTATTTGGGCCAAATAACCAGATTTTCGCTTTGGCATGGCATTCAGATGAAGGAGTTACAGAAGCATTTCAGGCTCGAAATGTTTATTGTTCCTAGATACTTTAAAGGAGTCCCTGGTAATCGATGCTCTGGTGTAATGTATTGAATCATTTTAATATACTAGTTTGTGAATTTTATACAAAATATTTGTAGGTAAACTCCAAAAGATAATAAATCGGTTTGATTAGCTTTCTATATTTTATCTATACCTACTGTACACTACATTTCCATTGGTTGCCAATAAATTAAGTAAATAATGTAAGGAGCAGTTGTACTATTTTGTTTTTTTTTTCTGAAAAAGCGAGTTCTATACTGGACTCAACTCATGATTAAGAACAACAGTGATTCAGAGATATCACTGGCAACAAGCTAATTTCTGTGGAAAACAACCGGCAAGCCATCAATTTTTTTTTATCAAAGATAAAAACCTCTTGTTTTTATACTTTTGCAAGAAATTCAATATATTTCTCATCAAGCGCAATGTTGCAAAGCAAATAGGATTTTTGAAAATAATAACATAGGCTTCGCAGTTACGAGTACATATATGGAATGATGATTTTCTAGGATAGCCCTTGATGTAATGCGAAATTGGTCCTGTTGCATGCTGTTGAAATAAAAGTCTCGATGTTGCAACGGGTTCGATACTGTGGTTTTCCAACCAATACAAAATACGTCCGCATTTATTTATTCGTCCTGATAACATTTCACTTCAATAAATTTGCGGAAGATTTGCTTGAAGCTGATTTTTATTGAAATTAATGGTTTCTTAAGACATTATTTTTTTTACGATCACTTTTAAGAATATTTATTTCAAATTTTAAGAAATAAATTAAGAGAGCCTTACAAAGTTGCCGTTTTGATACCTAGCAACTGTTTGCGGCCCTTTTTGAGCCGTATATAGATAATGGTTCTTGCGGTACCATAGTACGAATTTATCTACAAGTTACTACACACGGTCGATAACAGTTGCAAAGTTGTTACGGTTGCAGTAAAAAGTATCATTTTTTAGTAGGCTTTGCTACATCGAATCCTGGACCTAACCTGAAGATGCAAGCCGCTGGTGCTTTCAAAACATCGGGACAAATTATTTTCTCCAATGCCCGCAGAACTCACAAGTTTCAATTAAATAATAATATTTAAAACACAAAAGCAAAACGTTTTCGGACACATATTGGTCTGAAGATCACAACGGACGCATTTTCATGCAATTAACCCTGTACAATAGACTCAGTGTTCAGTATTCCCAATTGGAAATCGACAATAATTTCGATAAAGAAAGATAAAAAATGTTGAAAACCTACCTAAATGATTAAGTGCAAAGAGTGTAACGTTTTCTGTAAAATGTTCGAATAAAAAGTTTCTTAATTAATGAATGAATTAAGAATTAATTATAATTTGCTAATCTGAATCTCTATATATCAGAATACAGGCATTTTATAATAAATTTTATATTATACAACATTTGTATTAAAACGATGGTCTGTAAGCATTATTTTGTGACTAAAGTAGCTTGTTTTCAAGCTTATTTGTTTTTTGCTATTGAACTAATCCGAAGATTAAAAACAACCAGTTAGAATTGTTTATTTAACAGTATCAACTTTTAACGGCCGTTTAGTGGCATTAACAAATTAAGTTGGGTGATCATCCTCGGATTAAATTAACCAGAATTTGCCTTTAATTTCACTCTTAACGGTTAATAACAACCCTTTACAATCCGCATCTATTTCCTGCTCCATATATTCCTGGCTTTATCTAAGGAAACAGCTTATATGCTTTAATACTTTTTCTAACAGATATGCCAATAAATAAGTAGGAGTAAGACTGCTTTTTAATTTTTGCATCTGCAAAAATATTTAATTATTTTGAATTGTTTTGCCGATTTAAAAGGTTTAAACATAATCTTCAACAGCTTTAGTTACATAATGAATTTACTAACTAATGCGTTCTAATTGTGAACTAATCTTCTCGCAGATTTTAGGTCGAATAAACCATTTAATCCCAACACGTTTGATAACATGCATATAAAAATTCTAAATTTGGGCCATTGGTTTTGATGAAGTAAAACATTTTTTCTGGAAATAAATGACTATTTTCTTAAACTAAATCGTGATTTGTTTACACTCGTGAGTTCAATCAAAATAAGCCATGACAAAAATTCTCACTAAACTGAAGTTTATTTTATAAAGACCTATCTATTCATATCAGTTTAACTTGCATTAATTGATTATTATAACACTGAACCTAATTGTTTTTCAGTATCCGGCAGTCAGCTAGAAACAGCCAGTGCAGCATGCAGGGTTCTACTAAAGTACCTTCTTAGTGCTTTACAGAGCGCCAGTAGTGAACAATACCAAGATAGTGTTGCTATAGAGCGTTATCTAAATGCAGTTAGAGTGCTTTGTATAGGCACTGGTCTACTTACTACTACAGAAGTGTCCAGTTTAGTTGATACAATGAAAGGGGAAAATTTGCCTCAGCAGACCAATGTGTCTTCTAGTGGTAAGCTCACGATTAGCCATCCTATCGCAAAATTTGATATGATATTTAGCACACGAACGCTATTAAACATTTATTTTTAGATGTATCTGATCAAATTATTTGTTTACTGTTGACTTTAGATAACATCCTATGTTAAATTATATTAATATAAATAAATAGGTCACCAATGATTAAAACTGAAATATTTCACTAGCAAACAAATAATAGATTTATTTGAGAAATCGATAACTCTTGCTCTATATTTCAGTCCATGACAAAGAAACTGGAAATAAACAGGAAACATCTAAAAATCGTCCTGATCTATCATTGATTATCTTTGAACGGTTGACTTTACCAATACGAGACGGTCTAGTCAGTAACGACGTCGCTAGTCCAGTTTTGCCCGAAAATTTGGCAGATGCTGATCCCATAACTGAAATTAACGTAAATTCTTTGGTCTTCGTGTTACGTTACATATATTTGTCATGTTAACTTTATTTTGTAGAGACTGTTTTTGAGAGCAAATACAGAGAGCCTGCAAGCTTTAAGAGCAGGCGATGCGTTAATAGATCTTTGTTTGAATTTACCGACGATAAAAAAAGCTAAAGTGAAAGTTGAGGAAGCGTTGGCAGGCAGACCATTTAGCATACCTTCTAACCATGCAGAAGCCTTGGCTCATAGAAATAGGTATTTATTATCTTTTCAACGAAAATTTAATTTGTGTAATTTCGCTAATTATTTTTAGCCTTCCCCAAACAGTATCTGAAATAACCCTGGCGATCTCGGCTATTAATTTGCCGGTACTGGAACCATTGAGCGCTCCTAAATTGGACAAACTATGCAACTTGGCGATGGCAGCGTTACATTGTGGAGTAGCTCAAGCAGCTGCCAGCGCTTGTTTAGCTGCAGCCAGTGTAGTATCACCTAAAGTAAGCGGTCAACAGGTATGACTTCTTTTGCCTCAGATGTGAATAAAATTTCACACTGATTTTGTTATCAGGCTCAAGCAGCCAGTTTGAAGGAAGAGGACTTGGACTCAAATGCCGTCAAACTAGTGGAAGAAGTTTTAAATATGTACTCATATATTGGCAATGTTATTAAGACATCGACTAGAGCCGGAGGCCACGTAAATGCGACATATTTTTTTAAAGATTTTAGTTTTCTAGCAATTTTTCATTTTACTAGGCGTATCAAAATTATCTTCTGGCCGGGGCTTGGGTTCTTATTTCTGGCCTTCAAACTCACCTTACCCAAACAACTTCTGCAAGTGGAAGTGACAAACCTGCATCGTATCTGAGCAGAGAAAGAGATTCAGCTGAAAAGAGCCGACCAAGTCCGAGTAAGCAAGGCCAACAGGTATGCTTTCTATATTACATGGTTTGTGACTGTGAAATGTGTGAACATAATGCGAGGATCGTTTGATAAGTCATGATAGTAAAAAAAATTGTTCGCCCAAAAAACGTTTTGCATGAGAAAAAAGCTTTTCCTTCGTTTCTTTGATGATTTCTTTACGTAAAAAATAATTGATTAAAAATATTGAATTAAATGACGAAATCCTCTCCTTACAATGACTGTTAAACACGAACTTAATGACGTGGCGTGCTCAAAATTTCACAGCAGTCTACTAACAGACGACATTTGACGGGGGTAGTGTTGAATTTAAAGTTACCCTGCTGGGGAAATTAAAAAAGTTACTGACTTGTCAAGCGACCCTCGTATTCGTTCCCGGTTTCTGCATGCAAGTATTTTGTCTGCATCTCATCTACTTTTTTATGTACTTGCAGAGCCGCGAATCAGTTACCAGTACACCAGGAAGTTCAGCATCGGCTCGTTCCGGTCTACAAAAATTCCAACAATGCTTTGGCGTGTTGAATGTCGCTTTAGCAACAAAAGCTTTGGCTTTATTGTCTGATCTATTTGATGATCTGAGCCTGGAAATTTTTGGAGGATCCGTTGGCAGTGTAGTGGCTGTGAGTATATTGCATTGAGAAATAATCTAGACTAAACAATGGCTTATTTTTAGATGGAACCAGCTCCTCTAGCTATTTTAGGTCAATTCACAGCTCTTCAACGCGTTGCCAGAATACTAAGTGCCGCTCCTCTTAATAATTTACTTTTCTATTTGTCGATAGTTAGCTACAGTAAAGCATGTTCCTTAAAGCGGCTAATTCCACCCGAAAGCGATAATTTTAGCCAATCAGACTCAACAGCTTATTTTGAGGATATGATACTTTGCAGCGACGAAAACTCTACAGATGAAGGTACTCTTAACTAACTTAAAGTTGCTGTGGATTTGTTCCTACGGCAGCGTCATATTTTGATGAGCTGCTAAAAATCTGGCTTTATTTCGTCTGATTTCCGAGAAAAGGACTTCTGCACTCTTGCTGCTCGCGGCTTACTATACTACTAATAAAAAGTTTTTTTTGTATCCGAAAATTCTAAATTATAGGGATTTTTGGCGACTTCAACGTAAAAATAGTTTTTTGGAATAAGACAAATTTACTGCTTTTGGCGGGACACGAACCTGCGATTTCCATGACTTCAGCATTATGCTCTACCAACTAAGCTAGGAAGCAGACAAGATTCCCACCAGTCCTCGGTCAGAAACTCCTTCTTGAATTCAAATACGGGGTGGTACTTATAAGTGTGCAATCAACTACTACTGAAAGTCCCGCGGAAAGCAGTAAATTTTTCTTATTCCAAAAAAATTATGTGTCCGCTTAAGCCGCAAAAAAATCCCAAAAGTTGTTTTTTTATAATACATATAACTTATTAATTTGGGAGTGAATAGCAGCTTTAAATCATAAACTATTCTTCTAGATGACGATAGTGAGCCGATTTTAGGTCAGTGGTTCGAAGAAACACTGGCACCTTCTGAACCCGCTGAATCCAAATCGCCATCCACTTCTGAGAATGTTGATACCAAGTCGAATAATAATCCTGATCGTGGTCAATCTATTGTGCCCGAAAAAGGAGAGGTACAGTGGTGATTTTAATTTTTAGATATGGTAATGTGACTCATTTTTTTTAGGTTGATGGTTATATTTCATTGGCAACCAGTATTTTCGTATTCCTTAACAAGCATTTTCTCTGTTCGAAATCCAGCTTTGTGCAGAGGTATGTTCGAAGTGGCTTAACCGAGCAGCAGATGATCATTTTAGCTGCGATCATCCGAGATTTGGATAGAGAATGGGCTAAATCAGAATTAGGTAATTTGTTGCAGTATGCGCATGCAAATTAAATAAATAAAATATTATATGTTTTCAGGTGGCCAATATGAAGAATTCTCAAATGCGTTGATGAAATTCACGCATAATTTGATAACGAGTAACAACCTGAATTCGCTACAAGCATGCCTTTTAAATCATTTGGGAGTTTCTCCCTGGAATGCGGATGTTCGTCATGCATGGCCATTGCAGGTCTATCCTAGAACGTTGACTGTTCTTGCCCAAGTAAGCGTTCAGTAACTTATCAGATGGAAACATTTTTTTTTATATTAAATCCCTTGCTTTAGGTTTTGCTATTAAGACCGCAAAATGAAAAAGAGGCATCCGTAATAAGTATTTGGCATAGACTGGTTAATACGCTGATTGAAAATGTCCTCAATAATCCTCAAGCTGCAATCGATTCTACCGAAGTTGAAGGTAGTTGATTATTTTTCCAAATACAATATATTATCTGCCACTAGCGACGTTTTTCAGATTTAAACGTAGAACATGCAGAAGTGCTTCTCTATCTTTTCCACTCGCTGAACTTGCTTCAGAAAAAATCAGTGGTTCTTTTGATGGCTGGCGGTGTGTTGAGATGCTCAGAAACCGCAAGAAGTAACTTAAAAGATTCCCAGCTGCTGAATTTGTCCAGATTATTGTTGCTCTTTGATTACATTATGAAACATCTGTATGATGTACCAACGTCGTTGTTAGAAAAAGTATGTAACACGTTGAATACTGATAAAATATTTTCCTTATACGATATCAATTTGTTGTATTTGATTATATTCCATTACTCTAGATCCAAAGGAATCTCTTTGATCTTACTTATCTCAGTGCACACTATAAGGATTCGGTCACGGCAAGACCAGAGGCATCTTGGAAAGAAATTGAGGATCCATATCGTAGACTTTCTAATGAAACTCACCCTACTCCAAGATTCTATAAGCTATCTAATTTAGAGGTACTTTGACTATTAACGTTCAACGTGTCTGCAGGCGAGCTAACACATCGATATTTATTCCAGATTAATAATCAAGATTCTCCAAAATTAGATGGTTTGGCATGCAATTTTATTTTGGGAACTCCTGATAAACTTCGATATCCACTTCTATTAGACGCTCTTATAGAAATCTTAAATGTTACGCAAAATATAAGTGCAGCTAATGCGGGAAACATGTCAATTTTGGGACTGTGCGCCACTCAATACTGTTTCACTGTTTGCTGGCGATTATTACACCTCTTACCTCCCTCAATACCTTACATGGAACGATTAGCAATATGTGAAGTATTAACACCCGGGCCTGTATTACTGCATTCACTTATTTGGGGTCCTCGAACACCCCACAAGAATTTCAATAGATGGCTGAAAGATTGTCTTGTAAAGCAGGTGAGATTTTTTCAAGTTCCGAAACTGTTTGTTACTTGATTATAATACTACTATGAAAATAATGATATCGGAATAACATGTTTCACTTTCATATTATCGTTAAATGTCTAAAAAATTATTCATACATAACACTGTGTGTTTCGAAAATGAGAGTTTTTTTGAAATTTAATTTACCGTATGTTATTTATTGTCAATTTCTTGAAATACTAGGGCATGTACACCCAAAGCACCGATAAGCTTTTAAAAAGTGTCTCTGACGCTGTAAACAACATGGAATACGATTGTGCACTTGCAAAGAGATGTATGATTAGTCTTATGCCCGAGTCCACTAAATCCGTTATGACCAAAGACGATCTGCCACCTCTATGGCAGTTGATTCTTTTGGATTGCCTGGTTGCAAAAGTAGAGGTGAAGAACTTACATTAAAGCGTGGTCGTAAAACTAATTTGCTTTCAATTTAGGTTCCTTTAGATGATGCGTGTGCAAGTGAAACCCAAACCATTGCGGTGTCAAGTCACTCGTGTGTGGAGGACTTGGTTCCGATCGTCATACGACTAGCCAGATCTATTTTACATTGCACTCGTTGGTCAATGTTTCATCTAGTGGTCGACCAAAGCGAAAGTTCTGAGAAGGTAAAAACGATAGCTTGAAATGGGTTCGGGTTTATAATTGTACATTTTAATCATTCCAGCTTCAACTGAAAGACCTAGAATTGATGCACGATGTTCTCGCAATTTCGTCAAAAGATAATACATTGCTTTGTACATTGGCTAGTGAGATTGATTCATATTTGCCAGCCAATGTTTTTTCGGTACTTCAAGCTTGGAGGACCGCATTCTTAGAAGATACTTTTTCGGTAATTGTTCACTGGCCATCCACGATAGCAGAAATCATAAATCAATTTACTTATTTTCAGTCCCAATTCAGCAGCGATATCATTCCATCGGAAAGCTACATTCTGAAAATCATTGATATACACATATCTTCGTTATCCAAATCGTTGCCATTCAGTATCGATTTGTCTTTGAAACGAACTTTAGAGAACTTGGTAAAATTCGTTGTTCAACACGCCCCAAGAATTGAAAACACCGATACTAAAAATAAAGCTATTGAACTGTTGGTTTCCATTACAACAGATGCAAGAACTGAATATTTGTATAATGTGGCTGTTAAAGCTTTGGATAAAATGATTGGAGACACAGAAACTGATGAACGACAAAAACGGGTTTATATTCGGTACGCACGACAAAATGGGTTAATTTTATTATGTTATATTAGTATTGAGTTTCAAATGAGTTCTTTGGAAAGACAATTTTCCATTTTTTGGTAAGGAGATCGAATTCATAATAAAAGCACTAATTATAAATTCTTTCCAAAGGCTCATTTGAAGCGAAATACCGAATTAAACTTGTGTACAGAGTGTTTCCTAATTGAGTACAGAAATTTCAAGGGCGTATTATTATGTTAATTTAGTGAGAATACGTTAGTTTGAACATTGGATCAAAAAATAGTTTCAGAATGGCAGGTTGTTAAAGTTGTAAAATTTTTTCTTTTTTTTTATAATTTCCCTGTTTTTATGCGCTCTTCATCATAATTTTGTAAACTGAATTGAACAAACAAAACAAAAATTGGCCGGAATTGGTGCAAGTAGTATACTAAAGATGGCTAGAATGTCTTCTCAGGAATACGCCCTTAAAATGTTTGTACTCAATTAGGAAACAGCATCTAGAATCAATTTTATTTTGGAATACTTTCATTCTTTTTAGAGTTTTGGACCATACTTACAACCTTTTGATAAAGTATACGAGCGAACTAAATGCTCCGAAGCCATGGGTACATGAGAACATTCTGCACAGTTGTTTGAAATTCTATGAGAAGATTATTGAGAAAAGTTCGGGAAGACAAGCATTGGAAAGTTTTTTTACAGGTACAAGTAAATTAAATTCCATGTGAATTGATCGTAATTAGTTTGAATTTAATAGGGGATAAAGACTTGGTTAAAGTGTTAATGTCCGTGTCCAGTCCTCATATGAAACAACAGTACAGCACTCGTGTGCTCCACTTATTCAACAAACTGTTTCAAGCCGCAGAGAAAAGTTCAACAGACCCAAGCTTGAATTCTCTCTGTTCGAGCATGGGGAAACTAGCAGAAGTGGAAAGTGAAAAACTGCAAGCATGGCTGAGGCAAATAATTATTGGGCCTGTTGAGGGATCTGGTTCCAGGTATTTTATTAAGCGATATTGTGACTAAGTCGTCTATTTGCTGACTGATTTTTTTTTTCGCAGAATACCCGTATTAAGGTTGAGAAAACAACCAACTAATACGAGCTCAGAAGGCAAACAAGTGTATGTCTGCATGGGAGCGAAGGACGAAAAGAAATCGCTGGTGCAAGAAAATAGTCAGTTACTTCAAGCGTTAACCAGTTACATTGTGAAACAGGTACATATTTATTTTATTCTAAAATGTTGCAAAATGACTATGTACTAACTGGGGAAATTGCTATAAGTACAAGTTTCATCTTTTCAGACCAGCAATGTCCCAGAGGATGTTTCTATAACTATACTGAAAGCTCTTATACCTCTTGGTAGTCATATACTGAGTCCTGCTTTAGAAGGAGCTGGTTTCACTGAACTTATGGACGTAATGACAATGTTGGCCGATGCTGGAACTGGAAAAGGACATAGTCACCTTTTCCCTGCAGCTGCTCAATGGGTAGAGTCCTGCGCCAAGTACGTGCAAAACTCTGATATTAGTGAGAAACTGGCGAGCACACCCGACCTTCTGAAGAACAACAGTGCCCTTAGTGCCGCATCCTGTATTTTGGACTATTTAACAGATGTAATTCTATCGATCACCGAGCAACCACCTAGGTACTTAATACTGTTTTATCATGTAATTAACTAAATGCAGTACTATATGTGTATTTGACAGATCGGTATCACCTCAGTGGGAGCACGAAAGTCCTCTAGATATTGAGCTCGATTGGCAAGAAGAAACGATCGATGATGATGATAGTGGCGAAGACTCCGATGAAGACTCTCTTTCCAACAAACTTTGTACTTTCACAGTGACGCAGAAGGAATTTATGAATCAACATTGGTAAGAATTGTTCACAGTGCAATTGCAAACGTGTCAAACATTTGATTTAGGTATCATTGTCATACTTGCCGTATGCTGGACGGCGTGGGTGTTTGTTCGATTTGCGCTCGAGTTTGTCACAAAGGACACGATGTCAGCTATGCTAAGTACGGAAATTTTTTCTGCGACTGTGGAGCGAAGCAAGATGGATCTTGTCAAGCACTAACCAAGCGCAGTCCTGTTTCCAATCCTGAACTTCCTCAGCATCAGAGGAAGGACGAAGAGCATYCTGTGTTAGCCAGCTCTTTAAGGTTTGTTAATAGTCAAGGCACTAAAAAGATGAAGGCGAAAGATTGTTGGAAGTTGTCTTTTCGTAGATATTTTTATTATCGACACATGATCTCGTTGGGGTATTCCGACTGCTCGATTGGTTTCAAAGATAAAGAAAAAAGAACAAAAATTGCGTTTTTTTGCAATAAAATGTTAATAACTAACACCATTACCACACCGAAACTACCTGTTCATCTGCTTATTATCTTTTATATCATCGCACAATTGCTACTAGTATTTTTGTCACGATAAAGCATTTTCAAATACCTATAGCGTTGTCTAAAAACTTATGAGAATTTTAAGCTAAAATTCATACCACTTATAAAATGTACAGACACTTTTTTTAAGCAAAATATACTCAAAAAGGTCTCATATTGAAGGTATTTTTAGCAATTGAAAAAAAGTATTGTACTTTTGTTTTGACGTTATCGTTTTTATTAGGAGACGTACCAGTTCTCCTGTACCTCCCGAGACCTATTCAAAAGTCTTATTCGAGGAAAGGCGTTCTGAGCATGAAAAGAAAAAACTTGATGAATCTCGAGAATTTTTATTAGGCTATTTGAATTCAAGCACTGTGACTTGGTCTTTATTGGGTATGTTTACTTCGTTGTTATAACATTATCATTTTCCTAACATTACTTATTTGTTTAACAGAGTTTTTGGAAGGGTTGATCCCAGCCATTGAGTCAACGTGTAACTTAAACAGTCCTGTAGGCTGTCACGCACGAGGAGTGAATGCATTACGAGAACTGTACAATGCCGAAAAGAAATACGTTCATACTGAGTTGCTGATGGTACCTACTCTAGGTAAGCACAAGCGAACAAAACTAGCAATCAAATGACTTAACAGAATGTAAAAACATGCAAAGTGCACAATAAAGCCAACTTACACTCAACGCTTGAAGTCCGTGTGATATTTAGTTCATAATTTTTTATTTGCATTTGATTAATAGTTTTTTTTATCGGTATGAATTGTTGTCGTTTTTTGACGCTTCATTCATCTATTGAGGACCGAAAAAGGGGTGTTTGTTCGAGACTTTTTATACAATCTTGAAAAGAGAGTTGAAGCTAGGTGGGTTTGTGAAACCCTTTATTTAAYCTTCCGGAAGTCGCGCCGATGTTTTTGRAAAAGTTTAGTCGCACCGGTCTGAGAGAGATTTTAAAAAATAGAAAAACTGACTTTTTGTTTCTTACTGTTATTGTCATGCAAAAATAGTGCTATKCTAAAATTTAAAAAAATGTAAAAATAAGTCGATTTAGCAAAAAACACCATTCAACTTTTAGAGCAACTCAATATCGATTACAAGGTACAGAGTGCCGAACGTTTTTATCTACAGCTCCTACAGCTGACAATTTATTTGTTTCAATTTTGAAAGTACAGGCAACTTTCTAAGGACTGCACCTTCAGTAATGCCAAATGGTTTCTTATTTCTTTAATTTATAAGCGACCGATAGTGAGATGCCAATTAATGAAAATTGAAATGAAATTTATAAATTTTTACAGGGTCTCAAGAAGGGGCCTTTGAAAATGTGCGAATGTCTTATGCTGGCGATCAGGGGCAAACAATCAGACAGTTATTATCTGCCCATATTATTCGACGTGTGGCTATGTGCTGCATGACCACGACTCAAGGTACGAATTATAACTAACATTTCGCATTATTTTTATATATTTAAGATTGTGCTACAGATTTAAAACCCTTATTCAAAACTAATTAAAAATTCAACAAGTCCTTAAAAATAATATTGTTTTGTTGTGTTGATAAACAGGGGTTTACAAAGATACAAAGTGGATTTAATTAATTTCCCGATGTAGACTCTATAGAGTCATTAAATAATACCAAAATACCAACTGATTAAATTAAAAAACTTTTTATATTTAATTCATAAATAAATTCATATTTTTTTTATCTTAGGAAAACGTCAACATTTGGCTGTATCTCATGAAAAGGGCAAAATAACGGTTTTACAATTATCCGCACTTCTCAAGCAAGCGGATTCTGCTACAAGAAAACTAACATTGACTCGGTTGAGTACTGCTCCAATACCATTTACCGGTAAATATACTTCTTAATCATCATCAATTGAAAGTAGTCTGGTGTGCTCAATCATCAATTGCAATTTCAGTTTTATCGATGACTTCCAATCTCTGCAACGAAGAATTTTTGGCAGTATGTGGCTTAAAGGATTGCCATGTCTTAACATTTAATTCGAACGGTCTTGTTACTGATCACTTAGTTTTGCATCCCCAGCTGGAAACAGGCAACTTTATTATAAAAGCTCTTTGGTTGCCAGGATCTCAAACGGATCTTGCGCTTGTCACTGCAGATTTTGTTAAAATTTTTGATTTGAGCAAAGATGCTGCGAATCCTCAATATCACTTTTTGGTAAGAATGTTCGGAGGTTTTCAATAGATGGAAAAGTTATACCAAACGATTTTAAGGTGCCAAGTGGTAAAATCCGAGATTGCACCTTCATGTATGAAGACGGAATTTATCATATTCTACTGATGTCATCCCCTGGTCATATTTATACCGAAGTGCTCAACGAGGATACTTCTACGAAATTTGGAAGTTTTTATGTCACTAATACGCTAGAGGTAAATACTGATAACTATGAAATCTAAATTTTAAATAATTTCTTCCACTCAACTTTAGGTTCACCACTTGGACGTTACAGATGCGAATGGTCATATTGCTGGTGGAGGAGTTTCGATCTACTACTCTCACACTCTGATGCTACTGTTTTACAGTTACGCACAAGGCAAGAGTTTTATATCACCAGTTGGGCTGAAGAGCAATTGTCTTTCACTTGGTAAGTTGAATCAATCAATAAAGATCTAATGCCGCTAAACATTACATAGTTTTCCTTTCAGTTTTCCCTATTACAATTCCCCAAACATCAGCCAGTACCAATGGTTCTAATGCGAAAAGTAATAGTACCAGAATACCAAATCCACAACCCTTGTGTCAGTGGATGGAGATCCCAAATCATCCAGGATTAATATGTTGTGCAATGCAGTCCAGCAATCAGCCAGTTGTTTTAATGCTCAAACCTGATTCCATCTTAATTCAAGAAGTAAAGGTAGGAAACTAAGTTGTTACTGGCGCAGTTTAGTAATAAAACTGTCGTTTTTTTAAAAGGTTGTGCCAGCGAAATCAAAGATCATGGACATGGTAGCCATACGGCATAATTCAGGCAGCGAATTGCGAACTACTTTAATCCTGCTCTGCGAAGACGGCAGTTTAAAAATGTTTATTGCCAATATGGATCAAACCGGATTTTGGATGTCAAACAATATTCAAGCCACTGTACCCGTAGGTAGGCGACAAAAGAGAATCAAACATTTGCTTCAATGTAACTCACTTATTTTTTTACCTTATTTAGGGACAGTGCCGAAACCAAAGAAGAAAAAGCCTATAAAATCTGGGAAGGCATCTAGTGCTCCTGTTTTCCCTGTCGACTTTTTCGAGCACTGCACAGCCATGGGTGATGTCGAATTTGGCGGAAATGATTTACTGCAGATTTACAACGCCGCGCAACTAAAACACAGGTATGATTTTTAGAAAATCTTTCAATGGTGTAGATAATTATGATTTTCTAGTCATTTTATCAACGCATTTGTAATTAATAATGTATTAAATTATTAGCAGTTGCTGAAATATGAGCTTCTTAATTTCTTATGAAACAAATATCATGTCCGCGTCCGTTTAATATTATGCCCGCTTATAAGAAAGGGTTTTACATTGAAAACCATGCCAATAAAATTGTCCGGTTAAGAGAGATGTCCGGAAGTAGAACCGGTTGAGTTATGACATTCTCGTTTTCATTGCGAGATAGAGCGTTAAATTGCGTATATTTTTATGCTACATATCTTTCTAGAAATATTTCTAGTTTTCACGTGAAACTCGAAAATTCAAGATTAATGCCAGTCTTCAGAATCGCACTTATTCGATGGCTCGTATTTAGAGAACCGGTTGAGTTACATTCCTTGATTCTTAATTCCCTATGAGAAAAATATCATGTCCGCGTTCGTTTAATAATTGTCCGCTTATAAGAAAGTGTTTTACATTGAAAACCATGCCAAGAAAATTGCCCGGTTGAGAAATGTCCGCAAGTAGAGCTTTCACTGTATTTGGAAACGAAATAATTGCAAAACCTATTTATATTTTTAAGAATTACATTACATTCAATACTTATTGCAGATTAAACACAACTGGACTATATGTGGTTTGTAATAAAGACCAATTTCAAATTGAAGTATCTAATAATGATGCTAACATGGTTATGTGCGGAATAAGAGTGCTGGTTGGAAGCCAAGATGCACAAAAAGCCCCAACATATGTAGAGGTACGTTATAACTGCGATTGCAATCCTTGCATTGGAAGTTTGCAAAAATAAACAAATAATCAACACCATTTCACAGATCTTCGGAAGAATAATTTCATTCAATGTTCTGAGAAGCCGTTGGTACGATATTCCGTTCTCTAGAGAAGAAAGTCTTCAGGCGGACAAAAAACTTACCATTGTATTCGGACCATGCCAGGTATAGAAACCGTTTATACCCCAACAACTTTTGCTTAAAACCAAAACTGAATGAATTATCTAAAAGCATGGTTTATAAAATATTCTATTAAAACTTTATAGGATCCCGAGCTGATGACAATGATCGATAGTGTGAAAATATATGGTAAAACCAAAGATGCGTTTGGCTGGCCAGAAGAGACTGATGATAGTGCCGTTGCAAATGCGGGAAACTCCTCGAATACTGGAACCAGTGCAGCTGGAAGTGGAAGTTCTAATGAGGTAAAACCACTTTCAAGTTATGGTCTTTAGACGCAAGAAATCAAATTTTAATTTGAATGATCAAACGAAATGTATTTTATTTACATCAGGTCGACCATCAGTCTGGGTGTCCACAGCAGTTATCAAAACTTGAGCGGCTCGCTATGGATGTTTTTAAAAGCTTGGACTGCTCCTTGTATATCTACTCGTCTGAAGAAAAGTTTGCAAAGCTTAAACCCGCTGCTTTAAAATTAGGTAACTTGTGCATTTGTCTTTTAATATCAATAGTGAATATTTGCACTTATTTTCATTTAGCTACCCAGCTCTTAACATTGCCTACACCACCGTCAATTCAAGTTCACTCAAAGTCTTTAATGTTGACAATTCATCCTACCAAACAACAGTATCATAGCTACAAGGATCAAGCCCTGTTAGAACACGTTCTGAGCAACTTAACTGATATGACGAGCAGGAAAGGTATCCAGCACATAATTGAAACTTTTAAGTTTATATATTTAACATATAATTTTTTATTTAGAATTGAATGGGGTAGATTTAGATGCAGAGAGTTACTACCGATTGGTGCTCATTGTAAGAGGAATTGCAGTTTCGCGACCCAACAATCTGGTTAAATTTGCTGACAGTCACGCGTCCCTTCAGGACGTTGTATTAGAAGACCCACTGGGACCGAACAATCAAGACGAGTCAACGGAAGATAACGCGGAAGTTAAAGATGGAGAAAGAAACATTAGTAATAATAAGCATTTATTATTGCAACTGGTAGATGTTCTCTGGATGTTGCACAAGATAAATCCGGAAATTCCCGCTCTAGCTCCCGTAGTCGTTCCCGGTTTGAAGTAAGTGTGTTAAATTTAAGTTATTGATTATTTATGGAAAATGCCAGAAATGTAAATATTTACTTTTTCCCATATTTAGTTTTTAACTAGTGTCTTTATTGCAGGTATACCGAACAAGTAATTCACGCTTTAGTTGAAATTATACATGCGTTTCAAACCTCTGAAAACTACAGCAATATCACCATTAGATTATATATCCAGCTCTTGTTGTGTCACGACCCTATCATAGCATTTAGTGCTAAACAAGCGTTATGCAAGGTAACCAATGCTGACTCATCTCCCTTATAAACAGTATCTTATTTTTTTATTAATCATGAAAGGTTCTGAAACCACGCGTAAAACGTCGCAAAGTTTTCATACCGTCTCCGCCTCACTGTGATAGCCCAGCACCTTCTAAAACGTCGGTTTTACCTTCGACTTCGGGCGAAGGCAGATCTCAACCGACTCAACAAGTAGGACCAATTCCAGCGGCTGCAGGATTTGACGTGGACATGGTGGAAGCAATCAGCTTTCTAGAGCAACATGGGGTTGAAGGTGGCGTGAATCAACTTGAGGCAATGTTGGGTAAGGGTAGCCTAAGTTATTAATAGTTCATGTACCCTTTGACAATGAAACTGCACTTATGCATTATGTATATGTTGATGGGAATGTCTAGGCATTGCGCAAACTGACCAACTGGCCATTCATTCATTCAAAACACCCACAGGCAGCACCCCTAGAGGAATGACGGCAATTTTCAATCACCCTATAATGTAATAATAAATTGAAGAAAAAAACTTGAATTCATATCTTTTTAGTGCAAATGATGCAGCGTGCCAAGTTCATTTATAATGTCGACCTTTTTTGCGTCAAGCCTTTCAATTATAGAAGGCAAATAAATTAAAATAATGTTTGCTTTCTTCTCTTACTCATTTAGAGCCTTCCTGAATGTTGCCTCGATTTATTGTAATGTCGTCGAAGCAAAAAACTCTAACTCCGTCTTGTTTTCAAGCAAATAATTTTGTTAATGAACTGAACAACGGTCAAATCAGATTCATTTGCCCATGACGTAATTTATATAATTGATATTCTGTCTGCATGATGAACTTATTTGGATATCATTTACAAAGGCAACTTTACGTGCCAACACTCCTTTGCTTTCTCCTTTCTGGAAAAAATATGATTCATAAATTATTTTGTTTCGAAATATTTAATTTATGTGTATAAACCAGAATCGTGAAGTTTTGAAGATCAAATTGTGTTTTTTTTAGCCGGGCATGACGGTTTTCCTCAACTTATTGATATTCCATCCGATGCAGACGATGAAACCATTGTGGAACTCGCCATTGCACTTAGCTTGCAGGTAATCATGTACCGACCCATTCAAACATTGCGATATTTTTGAAAGGCGCTTCGAGTTATTTACTAGTTGGAATGAATAAAAAACATCGAAAGTTCTAATATTAGCTTTTCTTAAATTTTAGGATCATGAAATGGGCGGTATTACTAGTGCTGAACAAGCAATACAAAACTTACAGGCGAAGTTTAGAGGAGCAGGCCAAGGACAGGCAGGAGGTGCTGGAACTTCTCAAGCGCAAGAAGCGGCAAATTTCAGCGATACGACAGCTTCTGCAGGTGGATCGGATGATGAAGGTGTCGTGGCATCGCTTTGGCGTGTAAATAAATATGTTTTCTATTCATTTGTTTGATAGGTTCCACTGCTGCTACTGATGGTTCAACGCTGCGTACTTCCCCAGCAGAGCAAGGCGGTAGCGCAGAGTCTGAGAGTGGAGGCAGTGGAGTTGATAGCATTACAGGTAATTTTTTGGGAGTCATTTTTTTATTTTGCCGCGTAATCGTCTATTTTCTTATTTCCCAGGCGAACACAATGTTTCTGGAAGGTCGTCAGCTTACGGAGATGATGGTAATACTGCTAGAAGTACATACAACAGCTCGACTATAGCCCAAGGTGAATTATTTTTATCGTTTGATTTTGCTAAATGTAATTTGATGCTTACTTAGTCCCCGCCGAGCAAATACAACGCGCTTCTCAGGGCAGCGATACCTTAGCTCAAATTCAGGAGGATCTTGAATGTGAAAGCGAGGGTAGCCCCAAACTACATTATCTCAGATTACAGTTATTGGAAAAGCTAGTTGAATATTTGCCCAAACTTCAAAACGCTCAGGGCGTTCGAGCTATCCCATTCTTCCAGGTAAACTAAATCGACACATTTTCATCTTCAACTTGTAAAAATGGTGATTTCTTATTTAGGTGGTATCGCAACTTACCACTGATTTAGATGGCTCTTGTGAGAGGGACAGGGTCTGTCTCAATTCGCTATTAACAGCTGTTAGCCGAGAACTGAATTTCACAAGAGATAATGTTGAAAGCATTTGCACGCGATCTACTAAGAACGAGGTGCATTTGCTACTCTTGAAACTAATTTGTAAGTATCGGTTTTCATGTGTATATTTGACGGCAACTTTTTGTTTCTTGGTTTAGCAGCAAAATAGTATTACTTTTTATTTATAAATTACTACCTAACTATAACTAGACGGTTCAATATTATTCATTAAAATATGCTTGACTCTGACGTCGGTATAATAATGGTGTATTATTACGTTTCCAGCCAATCTTTTGCAAAGAAATAAGTCAAATTCCGTATCGAAGTCTGGTAGTTCAACTGATTCATCCAATTATGTTATTCGAACGTCTGCGAGTTTCTTACACAAGGCAGATATTATTAACTACTGCCTTAGAATTAGCCAAGCCTTACTGACAGACTATTGGACACATAAGAGCGACGAAGAAGTTTCTGGGGGTGAGTCTAAGATATTACTTTAAATACTTATAAATCAGTAAATATTAATTTGCAGGAGCAAAATCAGGAAATCTGCTAAAACCCCACTTAACTTATCCATTACCAGACATGGCACCTTTCTTTCTCAAAACACACTTAAAGGAAAATTCTACTGATGTATTTTCAAATTATCCCCATCTCATTACTGAAATGGTCTTAAGGTTACCCTATCAAGTCCAAAGACTGTCTGATGTTAGTGAAAGCGTGAACGATATTTTTGACGAAACATGGTTTAGGTAAGTTACTAGAACCAGAGGAATCATATTCTGGTACGAAATGTTTTTTTTAAGGTATTTGTGTGAATACATGATGACTTCACTTCCACCGCCTTCTCGTCGAAATGCAAGAAAGTTGTTGCTCTATATTTGTGGCAGCAAGGAAAAGTATAGACAGTTGCGAGATTTACACGCATTGGGTACACATTCAAAAGGTTACTTAATACTAGTAAGGCAAAAGAGCGTTGAGGTAATTTCATATTTTATAGGGATTAAGCATTGCTGTTCAAAAGGTGGATATCAGGCGAATTCCGATTTACAACACGCTCTCAGTTTGCCGTATGACAGTCTAGTGGAACTCGTGGAACATTTGAAGGCTTGCTTGGATATTGCTCTATATAGAACAGGTATTCTTAATCACATGTTCTTGGTTAGCTTCCTGCTACATTTTTTGTTAAATATAAGTCATGAAAATACAGTATTATTGTTTACTAAACCATTATTTGCTTTCTGTTAAAGGAAATTGGCAAATATTCTGCTTACAAACCGAAGAAATTCTACCCTTCCTACTGCGAGTTAGTTTTCTATTAGACGACGGCGTGGCTCCAACCATTCTACAACTATTGACAAGCGCCTTGGTGATCAACTCAAATCAGCAGAGTAAAAAAACTGAGGCTACTAGTAAAGTAAGTTTTAAATTTATTTGCTTTGTCATCAGTTTTATACAAATACATTTTCGATAGACAAGCCGCAAAGATAGAGAAAAGTCTGACGATTCAGCAGTCGAAGCCTTATTCGAAGAATCCAATTGCGTGGCGTTGGTCGAGCAGATCAACAAGCAGGTTTCTAAAGAAATTTTAGCCCGTTTCATCAAAACATTTACTCTGGAAAACAACACAACAACTGTAAGGTGGCAGGCGCACGGTTTGATTTTAGCTATTTACAAGAATTCGAAGCCTAAAGAACAGGCTACTTTGCTGGAATTACTGTGGCAACTGTGGCCTCTGCTACCTGCGTATGGAAAGAAAGCCGCTCAGTTTGTTGATCTGTTAGGTATGCTTATATTTATTTTGATCAAGCCCCTTTCGGTTGATTGTATGAGTATTTTATTTTATTGTCCTTCCTGGGTTTCRGTCATAAAAGAAAATTGTATTTACAAATCATTCGRAAAACCCTTTCAGATCATTTTGGACACCGAAAATATCKCAAAACAAATATGCGATTTTAAASATTAGACAACAGTAGACAAAATATGTGCTCTTGACACGACTCGAAAAACCTTTTCGATTACGCATACACACTTCATTACAGAAACTTGTTTGATTAGACTATTATTTTAGCTTGTAGAAGACCTTTAAAAATTTTCTAACGTGTTTTACGAACACCCTGTATAAGGAAAATAATGCATCAAAGGACGTACAGGGTTCTTACTATCTTGACGAACGCAGCAAAGCGATAAAAAAATTCTAAACCATCAACACATTTTTTAAAATCTTAACGGTCAACTAATTTTCTAGATGAAATTAATCGCATTAGCTTAGAAATAAACTGAAGCGTACTAGATTGTATTTAGGACTGAACCACAGGAAATGTATTAGCTTTAGTCAATATTTTAAGCTAAAAAAATGTTTTAAGGATATTTCTCGCTGAAATGCACCGACACGAAAGAAGGGGAGAATAAAATCGAGGAGTACGTAAAGAAATCAGTATCCGTTCTCAGGGTGCAGAACGAAATGTTAGCTCATCATCCAAACGCAAGTTTATATGCGCATATGTCCCAATTTGTGGATTTAGATGGGTACTATCTTGAATCAGAACCATGTTTGGTTTGCAACAATCCAGAGGTAGATAAAATATTTTTCTTACTAAAAGTTTCATTAATCGCACTGGTTAAATGCAGGAAAACATTAATATAGCTGTATGTATAACCAGCTTACACACTTTAGTAAGACAACCCGAAGGATTAAATAGAGTGTTTAATTTCAGGTTCCATTTTCTACTATAAAACTATCTTCAGTTAAAGTGGACTCGAAATTCACAACCACGACTCAAATTGTGAAACTGCTGAGTAGTCATATTATAAGCAAGATTACGGTTCGAATTGGAGATTTAAAGAAAACTAAGATGGTCAGAACCGTCAACATCTACTATAACAACAGGTGCGGAATTAAACATTTATTAAGTCACTATAACTGCAAGTTTTTAGTCGTTTACTGAGCCAAATGTGTTTCTTTGTTTTCTAATTGCAGAACAGTACAGGCGGTGGTAGAATTAAAAAATAAACCTGCCTTATGGCATAAAGCTAAAAAGGTAACGTTGCAATCGGGACAAACGGAAGTGAAAATAGAATTCCCATTACCTATTGTTGCCTGCAACTTGATGATTGAGTACGCCAACTTTTATGAAAACATTCAGGTAAGCTTGGGAAGTAATTTCTCAATTTTGAACAAACCTGCATTATTTTTTCTACAGGCTAGCAGTGAAACTTTGCAATGTCCAAGGTGCAGTGCTTCAGTTCCAGCTAATCCGGGCGTTTGCGCCAACTGCGGGGAGAATGTTTTCCAGTGTCACAAATGTCGCGCTATTAACTACGACGAGAAAGATCCGTTTTTGTGTCACGCCTGCGGTTTTTGCAAGTACGCAAAGTTCGATTTCACCCTACAGGCGAAACCGTGCTGTGCCGTTGAACCGATAGAAAACGACGAGGATCGAAAAAAGACGGTGTCGAGTATAAACACGCTCTTGGAGAAAGCCGATAGAATCTACAAACAGCTTATTGCTAATAAACCCACTCTTGAGTCACTTGTAGTGAGAATAACAGAGCATAGATCCGACAAGAAAGGAGACGAACCGATCGCTTCTAACAACAACACGACCACTCAAAATCCTGTAAGCGCTGTTGCAATGGCTCAAGTTAAAGTTAACAAAACCATTCAGATGCTTGCACAGCAATATTGTTCGGAATGCAAGACCAGCTTTGAGGAGCTGAGCAAAATAATACAGAAGGCAAGTGTTGAAATTTCGAGAATAATGGAAGTTTTATTTCAGATACCAGATCTCTAAGGAGTTGGGCAATCAATATAGTTTTTATGTGCTTTTAGGTACTCGCTTCCCGAAAAGAACTAGTGATTTACGAAAGAAAACACCATGACATGGATCTTCCTCAAAGTGCTTCAGTGTTTGATGATCTACAGGTAATAGTCAAAATGGTCTACAAGTATGTGTTCTAAAACAAGTATATTTTAGGTGACTGCCACCCCTTGCGTTGCAAATAAGTGTTATGGCTGCGCTACAGCAGCCACAGAACATTGTCTCACGCTTTTACGAGCCCTTGCTCTTAACTTGACAACTAGACAAATTCTTTGTTCTTATGGTTTAGTCCAGGTAGGTGAACTTTGTTATTTGGCAAGTAATTTCTGGCATTCCAAACGACGTTAAAAAATAATACAAGAAAGGCTCTTAACTCATAAATTGAGTTATTGAGACTTGTTTTACGATAAAATTGAACGAAATTTCAAGGAATTGGTATGGAACAACTTGAGAAAAGGCAACATACATAATCAAGAAGACGTGCGATTGTTGCTTTGCATGTTAACAAAGGATAATCCAGAAGCAACTGAAGATTTGTGCCACCTGTTGATGACTAGGATTACCAATAGTTTGAATGGAAATCTGAACAGTACCGACTTAGGTAAGAACAGTGTCCTTGCTCTAATCAGATTGTTCGAAAATATTGATGATTTATAGGCGCTAGTATTCGACATGAAATAGCGCTACTGGCAGCCATGGTTCAAAAGGAGGACGACTGTTGGGAGTTAAAACTCAATTGTATGATGTCTCTCTTCCAGACAGCTTGTGAAGATTCAAAGAGTCCAATAGTCATGGAAAGCGTCACTTTGCCGTGTCTCAAAATCATACAGAACTTGATGAAAATTTCAGAT